GAAGATCGATGATGTGTAAGCAAGTGGTGTTTATGATAACGGAGTACTTGAATTAGAATTTTAAAATGCTGACAAAGCTGTTAAAATAGTTCTGTATTTCATTGCACCATATAAATTGAAGGGAAATTTTTATTTCTCCTGGAGTAAAGTTTACCAAAATATTGAGATAGACACAATTTCAAGAGTTTCCAACCTCTGTGCCAAATAAAGAAAGTGAGTTTTGGGTTCTTTTGGGGATACATTTTCCTAGCTACCTCTTCCAGCCTGACATTACTTTACAGTCTGCAATCATTTAAAGGAATTACCAGCCTTTTGTGTGTTGGTTAAGCATTAGAGCTCCTAAGAAATCATTGGTGTAGAAAATGACACTCTTTTCCCCATTATACGTTACTGTATTTTTGACAGAATGAGCAGACTTTTTTCATTCCTTATTAAAACCTAATATTAACCTAAAGTTCTAAGGATATGGTCTTGGCCTTTAGTTGCCCTTGGTTGAAGTTCTTGGGCAACTTTTTACACTTTGTGGACTTCTATAATTTGGTTAAGGAGCTCTGATGGCTTAGTGGTAAAGAATTGCACTGCCAACACAGCGTAAAGTACATGGTTCAAATCCACGCACTGCTCCGCAGGAGAGAGGTGGGCAGTCTCTTCCTGTGCGAACTACTTCCTCTGAAAACCTGCTGGAGAATCAGCTTTGGGTCAGTTTCATCTCCATGGTAAACAGCAGCAAATATAATCTGGGCATATTTTCCCCCCTAATAGTTTTTTCTTTTTTTTTTTTTAGTTTTTTCTTTTATGCTTAAACAACTAATCAGAAAAAGAAAAAAAAAGAAAAATCCTGTTCATTGAAAACTTGAACAGTTTTTTATCAGGCTTCGTGCTCTTTGAAAAGCACAAGCAGACATAAACTTATGTATTTACGTGACTGCTCGACTTGCTAATGTATGTTCCTTATAATTTTTATGCATTAGTTGAGTAGAAGTCTTATTGGCAGTATAATGTCGAGCCACTATTAGGTATTTTGTATTGGATTCTATAAGGAATAAAGATGAAATCATTGTGTTGTCCAGTTTCACCTGTTGTAGATCACAGCAACAGGAATAGGATGGGGGGGTGTTTCTTTCAGAATCATGTTCTGTTTTAAAGCAAGAAAAAGCCTGTGTAGAGTGGAGTAGAAGGCTAGCACATTGCTCCATCAAGGGCCCACCAACAAGTTAGTTCAGTTCTCTGAGCCTCTCTGCCAAAGCTCATCCTTGACAAAGTGATACAAATTGACAAATCCTGCAAGAATGGGCTCAACAAATATTTTATTTCCTTCTCCTCTTCTGAATGAAGGCAATAGTGACGTATGTATGCACAAAGATCCACTGAGGGGAAAAAAGATATTAGAACGTGTTTTATTGATTTTAAAATCTCATACTTTTACAACTGTCTTTCTTGTTGTTGTATACTGTAGAGTTGGAACTGACCCATTGCTGGCCCTCCAGCAGGTTTTTAGAGGCAGTTAATTGCATGAGAGGAGATTGCCCATCCTTCTCCCACAGAGCAGCTGGTGGCCTCAAACCACGTGCCTTCAGGATTGCAGCACCACTTCTTGTCACTAGGCCACCAGAGCTCCCGTATTTCTTATTAAGTATTTGAAAACATTTTAATATGGTAGAACTTTTAAATTATTAAAATTTTTATTTAATTTTTTTATTGTATAAACTTTTTAAAGGTAACTTGAAAGTGTATGCTCATGTTTTATTAATAGGGGTGCACAGTTTTCTAACAAAATTGGAGACAGTTGGTGTTTAGGCCATTGTTTCCATGTGTTGGTGAGCTGTGTGGTATAATGAGTTTCCTTGGAGTAGAATAGACTGAATTGGATTGATCTGCCCTATCTTTGAATCTCAATCTCAAAAAATAAAGGATTAGTCTGACAGTTTAATGCCACGCCATAGTATAGCCCTAGGGCAGCTCAAAAGGATTACCCAGGTAATCGTAATATCACATCATATTACAAAGCTTCTTAGTGTCTCCCAAAAAATAACACAAGTAGGAATGCAGGCAGTAATTACTGATTTTCAGCCATAACTGATTGATGCGTTATTATAAAAGCTTTAATCATGGCATAAGTTGTGAAAGTTGGACACTGAATAAGGAAGCCTGAGGAAGTATTGCTGTTTTTGAATTGTGTTGGCAAAGAAGGGCGCTCTGATGGCGTAGTCTGTAGAAGTGCACTGCTAGCCCAAAGGCCTCACCTCTCTAGTGGTTCAAATCCACCAGGAACTCCAAGGGAGAAAGATGGGCAGTCTCTTTCCATGCGATTTACAGCCTCTGAAAACCTGTTGGAGGGTCAGCGGTGATTTGGTTCCAGCTTGGCTGTGAGTGAGTCAACAAAGAACATGACCTCCACCCTGCACTGCCAGGAGAACAGCAAAATCCACCAGAGACAAATGTGCCAATTAGGAAAAGTGTGATCAGAATGTTGCTGAGTAGTGAGTGGGACAAGACTTGATCTTCTCTACTTAGACATTTATCTACCAGGAGAGAGCAGTCCTTGGAGAAGGCTCTCTTGCATGGTAAAACAGGTCAGCCAAAAAGAGAAAGGCTGTCTGTAAGAGGGAGTGGCGCAGTGCCTGCAGCACTGGCCTCAGACAACCTGTGATGGTGAGGACGACACAGGACCAGCAGCGATTCCTTCCAGTGTACACACAGGATCACTGTGAACTGGAGCTGCCATGATGGCACCTGACAACAGTAACATATACATTGCCCTCGTGGTGTAGGAGTTATGTGCTCAGCTGCCAACTAAAACTCTGGCATTTTGAACCCCCCAGATGCTCCTCAGGAGAAAGATGTGACAGTCTGCTTCCTTAAAGATATAAAATCTTATGAGGGAGTCCTCTGTCCCTGAGACCTGCTGTGTGTTGGGGAGTTCTCCTTGGTCCTGTAGAGCTGCTGTGTGTCAGAGTCAATGCTACATTAATTCACTTGTGGGGTTTTTTTGGTTTGGGTTGGGGTGGTTTTTTTTCCCCTTAAAAAGGGGTGTTTATAAATTTACGTAGAAAAAAAGGAAAGTTGAGGTTTCAGTAGTAAATAAGTTTTCTGAAACCATGAAAAGATGTTCAGCAACCTAGTAGTAATCAAGAAAGTGTAAACGGAAACCTGAAAGTGCCCATTGCATTGAAAAAAACGTTAAAGTCTGACACCTGCCCAGCCTTGGTGAGTATGGGGGATGCCCTCCAGCCAGCCGTGGTGTGAGATGCTGTGCCTGGTTTGGAAGGCAGTGTACCAGCATTGTCAGGAACAGAGAGGAGCCCAGGTCTTGTAATTCTTTCTCTCTGAATGTGCCCCAGGATAGAAGCACGCTTACGCGGCGAGGCAGACAAAAGTGTTCTGTGCAGAACTACCTTCACCCCAACAGCTGGACATGCTTCTCAGAGGGACGACAGCTGGGAAAATAACCTTCAGAAAAATGTCAGCCTAATTTACTGTTTTGAAGTGTAGAATATTGCCAAACCTACCAAGAAGATGGGCTGCCTTGGGGCAAGAAGACAGAGCACTGAGATGGAGGAAAGGGTGGGATGTGATCAGAAGGACCTTTTGTCTTATTTAGAACATTTTCCAGAGTGTTTGTGCCTGTTTGATTATTGACACCTATTTGAGAAAAGACAAAGCAAACCATCACATCTGATTTGAAATTAAGAGAAAAAGGAGCTCTACTGGGAAACCCTTTTGGAGCTGGGGAGAATGGGGAATGCATTGCCCTTCACACCACTGAGAAAGTGAATATACAGTTGTTATTAGTGCCTATTTTTTTTTTCTTGGCCTCTTTAAAAAATGGAGTTATTATCTTCCTGATGTGTAGCCACTCAAATAGTACAGAGATTGTAGAGAAGAGATAATGCAGCTTTCCCTCCTGTGTAGACAGCACATGAAACACTTATTGGTCTTACCTTTGTTCTACTAAACTCTTGTGCCTGGTGTTCCTCTCTCCCCTGACCCAAGAAGAGGTATTTCTTCAGCTCAGTGTTGCTGGTGGGGAAGAGGAAAGCTCCTTTTTCAACAGGGCGAAGGGTAGTCTTGTCTTTAAGCATCGATAGCAGTGGTCTCCCGGCTTGCGTTGTCTCACCCCTTGCCACGTTTAGCAGATCTGGAGTTGTGCTTGGGCATCTTGACTTGATCCAAAGCTCCCATGACAATTCTTCTTGTGTGCCAGCAGAGTGAAAAAATCACTTTTCTAGTGAGTAACAGAACAATCATAAAATTGTACCCCTGCTGCTTCTGGAGAATTCTTTTAGGAAGTAATTTTTGAGGAAGTAATGAGTCTGTCAGCTTTATGGAAACATGCCTGCACTTAGATGGTCTGTTTTGTTCCAGGAATTTCACGGAATCTTCACTTTAGGTTATTTTCAGCATTAGGCCTGTGTCTCTTTCTAAATAGTCTACATAGAACTGCCATCTTGAAAGGGCTCTTTCAGTTCTTTTGTGAAAATAGTAAGATAAGGAATATAAGGCAAATATAGCCTTTAATATAGCTGTTGGCGTTTCACCTTGAAAAAAGTCCAGGCAAACTGTCCTGCTGTATTGCTTTGTGCAGTTTTGCCCTCCCCACCCCAGATTTGTATGGACTGCGCTGTCGTGCACTTACCTGGGTTACAAGTGAGAAATCATGTGACTCTTAAAATTTTCCACCAAAATGGGGGAGGGGGAGAAGCAGAAGAGAAATGTGCAACAATGAAAAAAAATTTTTTTTTAATTTCCCACTAATTCCCATTCTTGGGTTTTCAGACATAAAACTTGCAGAATTCTATAGGAGCCATTCAGATATATGTAGGATTCTGTGAAACACAGTGTAAATAGAATATTATATAAAACACAACATTTATGAATGAAAACCAAAACAAACAAGCCATCAGAGGCAGAATGAAGGGTTCAGTTTCTCCAGCATAGTAAGCCCCAGGTGTCTTTCTCATATTATAAAATTATGCTGAATTTTACTTTTTGTTTCCTAGGTATCCTCATGGGAGCAGTTATAAAGATTATAGAATTTAAGAAACTGGCAAATTGGAAGGTAAGGTTGCCCAGTTGTTCTTTTTCAGTGTTCTCATAATTTTTGTTAGTTGTCTTGTTTGTCATTTAACTTTCTGTTGTGAATTAATTGGCTGAAGGTTTATAGAGCAGATCATTCAACAAGTTATTCACATTTTGAGTCAAAGTTTCTAGAGCGAATTTGTTTTCCATTCAACTAATAAGGAGATGAATTGCAGTGGGAAAATCTGTAGTTAGGGACCTCTCCAAATTAGTGAGGAGTAATGATGTCAGTTTGAGGACTAAGGTGTGTCTGATTCAGGCCATGATCTTTCCAATCACTTGCAATGCATCTGAGAGCTGAACAGTGAATAAGGGTGACAGAAGAATCGATGCCCTTGAGCTGTGGTGTTGGAGAAGAGCACTGAACATCCCATGGACGGCCAAGAGAACAAACAGATATGTCTTGAGAGGGTGCTGCTGGAGTGCTCTTTGGAGGCAAGGATAGTGAGGCTTTGCCTCACATACTTCGGGCATGTTGCTGGGAGTTGCTATTCCTTGGAGAGGGACTTCATGCTTGGAAGGGTAGAGGGTCAGTAAAGGAGCGGAAGACCCTCAACCAGGTGGTATGATATGGTGAATGTCATGGTAGGGTCTAGTGTGTCAGGAAGCATGAGGGCAGCACAGGGTAGAACAGGGTTCAGATATGGTATTCATAGGGTACTATGGGTGGTACTTGACTGACAGCACCTAACAGCGACACTAATCATGGGCTTTGCTTTCACAACATTGATTGAACTTCCATAGTGTAACAGTACTCTTCCCACTTCTCCGGGGATTTTCCATTTCCATTACGTTCTATTTCCTAACCCATCCTTGCCTTTTGAACTTTGCCCTTGGCTAAATGCAGCTCTTTTTATCTGTTATGGTTAAGTGTTCTAAGGAATGCCTATCTCCTTAATGGTATCATTCACCTTTTAGATCTGCATATTGTTTGGCTAAAAATTGAACCAAGGGTTCAGGCAAAGGTGGGGTGAGGGTGGAGATGGGGTGGAGGGTGTGTATGTTCAGTTCCTGGCTGATGGGAGACAGAGGTCCTTCTTCTCAGAGATTATTGGTTGGACTTCACTTTAGTGACACTGATGGACTCTTGCTTGGTTTTTACTGTGACTTGCCTGTCACAAAACTGAGAAGTTTTTATATTGCCTCCTTAACTTTTTTCGCCTAACTTCTATTAGGTTCAAGTTGTTATCTTTGTATCTGAGCTTTTTGAAAAAAAAACTTAAACCTTGTCATTTCTGTTGTATCTGGGAGTTCTCAGTGTCAAGTTCCATGATTATTTATTTGCATTTTTCTGATTCTCATCTACTTTGTGGGCCTGAGAAAAGGAGAATCCAGTTAGCATTAAGCATTAAGCACTGTTTATTGCTATCAATTCCATTCTGATGACTCTGGATCCTAAAGCGTATTTGTCCAGCGTGCAATTTACAGAGGACTTGATAAGCATTTGTTCATGTTGCCCACATGACAGCCAAGTTTCCAGAGAGGAAGGCACACATGTTCAGAGAGTTTGGGATGTGCGCAGCTTCACAGAACGAGGAAGCAAGGTGCCGAGGAGTGTGCTGCATCCATGCGGCTGGCCCTGTGTGGCAGGACTCTCTGCACTGCACCATGGCGACTTCTGCACGGTGATGGTGTGTGAGCATCATCAGTGCTACAAGGTCTGATTGACACTGGACTTGTAGCTGAAACTTGACTCTCCATGTTGACTAAGGAGAGATTAGCAAGCATATCACAAAGTTGTCTTTGTGGAGGGAGAATATAGGAGTTGCTCATAAGGTTCATTTTAAAAAATTAAGGTCATATGCACACCCATGTTTATTGCGGCTTTGCTTGCAACAACAAAGAGCTGAAAAACAACCCAAGTGCCCATCAACAACCGAATGGATAGAGAAGCTCTGGTATACATTCACACAATGGAATACTAAGCAGTATTGAAAAACAAGGAACTCACGAAATATTATACAAAGTGGGTGATCCTGGAAGACATTCTGCTAAGTGAAATATCTCAGTCACAAAAGGACAAATACTGCTTAGTGCCACTGTTGTAAAACGGGACTGACATCAGGGTTGAGAGAAGACAGAAAAGGAGGGGAGGAATGATGTATATTGCATTGAAACAGATGAGGGGGAGAATTGTTTAAAAGGGACATGAACGGGTATTCTTGTTATTACAGAAGTCCAGAGTGAAGGCTGCTTAGTGGAGTGGACTTGGTGTGAGGGATTGCATAACAATGAAAGAGTTTTTCTTTTGCTTTTCAAGGAGAAGAGTGAATTGGGAAGGAGGGAGAGGGTAGGGAGAAAAGTGCAACAGTAAGTGACTGGAAACCCTGAGTCTCTGTAAACTTTCATTAAAATTCATTTTAGGCGAGCTCTGGTGGCCTAGAGGCAAGAAGCTGCACTGCAACCCCAGAGGTATGCGATTCAAATCCACCAGATGCTCTGCTGAAGAAGGAGGGACAATCCCTTCTCTACCAGTCAGATGCAATTTGACGGTACACACATAAAAAGTAATAAAAATTAAAATTAAAAAAAAATTATTCAACAACAACAACAACAAAATTTAAGTCCACCCTAAAAGGCAATTTGAAATGTATATTTTTTTGTATTCTCAAAATACTTTGTGTAATTAATGAATTCTGAAAAGGCACATTGAGCACCTAATACTTCAGGACTATTCTTAGGTGGAGAGGGATTAGAGCTGAAAGGCTGGGCAGAACCCACAGGAGCACATGGGAGGCAGACGGTATCTCTCTTCCGGCATCTTGGTTAAACCCCTAGTGGTAGTTCATTCGAGGCCAGGAGATTCAGAGGTAACTAGCGAAGGGAAGACAGAGTGAGCTGTTTCAAAGGTGCAGCCTGCGTTAGCCTGCTGGGGGGTGGGGTGTGACAGGCCACACCCTTGTCCCTACCCCTAGACTGGATGTCATTCGACTTGATTTGTTTGATCTGCTGTAACTCACAGTATAAAAATAATATTAATTCATATTGAATTCTGGACATCTCATAAAGACCTAAGCTTCTATCTTCTCTTGAAGAAACAGAAGCTGTGTTGGCACCAGGCTCGCTTTCTGTGGGCACAAGGTTGTGACTCTTGGCTGTGGAACTCTAGGTGACCATGGGAGCTTTAAAACTTGTGAGCCCTGTTCTAAGACATAAAGAGCCCTCTTGGTGTAGTGGGTTACATATTGGTCTGTTAGCCAAAAGGTCCATGGTTCAAAACTACCAACTATCCCACAGGAGAAAGGTGAGGCGGTCTGCTCCTGTTAACGTTTGTAGAATTTCTGTTTCAGTGGGTGTTACTTTTCATATTAAAATATTAATAAAAATGTGCTTGAACCTACCAGCTGCTTCATGGGGAAAACATGTGGTAGCCTGTTTCTGTGGAGATTTTCAGCCTTGGAAGTCCTGTGAAGCGGTTCTCCCATGTCCATACGGCCTCTGTGAGTTAGGATTGACTTGATGACAGAGGGTTTGTTTTTATTGTTGTTCAATGCTGTCGAGTCGTAGATGACTCATAGCGACACTATGAGACACTATGAATAAAAGACCTGAGTATTGTTTGTAGAGTTTCTGGAGGCAAGCCATTTAGGAAGTGGATGCCACTCCAGCTTCCAAGTTTGTCTTTAGTGTTTTCTAATACAGACAATGGGAATAGAGTTAGGTGGTGGATGTAAGGGCCGGAAAAACCTTCCTGAGAATCAGCAAATGGAAGTTACTAGGTTGGGGTAGTCAGGGAAGCTTTTTGGAGGAGAATGCCCTTGTGGGAAGTCAAACCAGGAAGCAGACTCCCGTGTGGGGTGCAGGTGACTTGGGGAGCAGTGGGATATAAAGGCCACAAAGTTCTTGCAGTCCTCTCCCCATGAAGCACCACCTCTTAACTGCCCAGCAGCCTGCATATCATCTGTGTTGTGACATGCACAGTTCTTACCTTGAAAACCATTTGCTTTTTCACTTAAATACGTTTATTCTAAAGGAATCATTGTAGACCATTTTAAAGGTCCCATCTGAATGAGAAATGTCATGCGGCCTAGACAAATCAGTGAAGATGACATACATAGTGCAGCTCCCTACTTGTGTCAGAAAGGGAGAGTGAGATTTTGGAAGGAGGGGCTCACCCTGGTAGCCCCAAACTATGGTGCCTGGGATTTAACTGGGATTGAAAAAGAATTGAAAGGGATTTTTCTCAGTCTGAGGGGCCAGCAGTATTGACCACACACTACTCAGGCCCTTCTGAAACCACTTCTGACCATTTCAGAGGGGATGCTGCGGCACGGAGCTTGGAACCTCTCTTCCACACCAAATAGAATCTCTCTTTTCCCAGGGACAGGGTCCCAAAGGGAGCTCTCCGTGCTCCCAGTGCACAGATCCTGGGAATAGGTTGCTCCACAAAGCAGAGATCAGCCCGTTTCTTTCCACATAGTCGCAGTCTGAGTCATGTGCTTGTTATACATGCAGTTATTTTAAAACTTAATAAGGCATTTTCAGAAGTCATCATTTGCTTCTATTTTAAGACCTTTTTTGAATGTTATTTTAGTCTTTATGGTAACAGCTGTACATTTGTAAGAATACATTTAGTCCTTCCTTTGAAAAGGGATTTTGACAAGAAATGGGACTGTCAAGATTTTAACATGGAAATTTTCGTGTGAAAAAGACCTGCTTTTGCAGAATTAAATAGACTATGCAAAGCATGCTGGCATTTGGATTTGAAGACCAGGGTGTATTTTCTCATAGGAAGCTCTGGTGGCCTAGTGACAAGAAACTATACTGTAATCCCAAAGGCATGCAGTTCGAGGCCACCAGCTGCTCCACGGAAGATGAAGGGGCAGTTACATATGGCAAAAATAAACAGTGTATATTTTCTCTAGGTCCCACCAACAAATAAAAGAGACATACTAATTATAGGAAGTGAAGTTCTCATTGTTGCTTTCATCCTCTCCCCCAGAGATGGCTGTTTCATAGTGGTGCTTCATGTTTGACTCTGAAAGCATGACCATGGGACAAGGTGCGGAGTATTTCATCACAGCTGGGTTTATAGGAGAGATGTGTGTCACGGGCAGGGAGAAGATCGACTTTTATAAATATGTAGGGGTTTACTTCCAGTCCTTTGGTGATGTACAGTCATTTGCTTAACTGAGTGATTAAAGGTTCAGGTTCACCTTGAAGTGCCCCAGAAGAAAGGCTTGGCAATCCTTTTTTGAAAAACCAGGTGTTGAAGGCCCGGTGGAGAGCAGTTCTCTTCTGATGCACATGAGGTCACCATCAGTTAGAATTGACTGGAGCCGCTGGTGCTGGTCGGGTTTGCCCTTTTGCTAAGTGGATTGCTTTAGAATTTACCAGTTTCAAGGTCTTCTAGGTTTCTTGATTTTGAATGTGTTCCGTCTGAATTAAAATTTTTTTCTATACCAAATAATTAATTTCCATACCAAAAAATGAAATGTATCCTACTGTGTCTAAAAGGAGCTTTTGAGTTGTAGTGATGCAGAAGAATACTGAATATCGCAGGGGCTGCCAGAAGAACAAACCAATACGTACCACCAGGGACTCCTTTAGAAGCTCGAAAGGTGAAATTTCACCTCACCTACTTTGGGCATGTCATTAAGATGGACCAGTCCTTGGAGGGAGCATCCTGCTTGGAAAGGTGGAGTGTCAGCAAAAGAGTAGGTCAGCCTCGACAAGATGGGTGAGACAGTGACTGTAACAATGGGCTCGGCCTTATGCAATGATGGGGATGGCACAGGACGGGGCAGGGTCGGAGCCATTGTTCGTGAGCTGACTCCACAGCACCTAATAACATCTATATTTCTTTCGCCAGTTGCCTTTCAGAATCGTGTGCTACATTTTGAAATGCACAATGTTTGTCTATGTCTTCTGCCAAATTTTACTATCAGGTGGTTGTTTAAACACTAGGCCAGGCCCCTGAAGCAAGAATTATTTTGGTTCTGCTTTGATGCATTTCTCTTTTCTTATTGTATTTTATGTGAAAGTTTACACAGAAAATTAGATTTCTTTTTGATTGATTTTATCCATATCGTTCCGTGACATTGTTTACAGTTTTCACAATGTCTCAGCTTCTCATTATTTCCGTTCTGTTTCCATTGATCTAGCTTCGCCTCCTTCCCTTGTCATCTTTACTTTTGAGTCACTGTTGACCATTTGGTCTCACAGAGTTCATTGTTCTAGGTAGCATATCACTCATGGGTGATACTGTTTATTTTAGAAACCAGTCTGTTATTTGAATGCAAGGTAGCCTCTGAGATCAAAGGCTGTTGAAGGTAACAGTCTGGGGGCGGCTCTCTCCTGTTTCTCTGTCAGTAACTATGACCTTTTTGACACATTTGAGTTTTGTTCTGCTTTTTCCTCCCATTGTGTCTGGGACCTTGTCTTGTGTCCCTGGTGATAACATTTATTTCTTAATAATACAAACTCTGTGACTCTGAAAAGCCTCATTTTATATTTATAGGAAGAAGAAATGTTTCGTCCAAACATGTTTTTTCTGCTCTTGCTCCCACCTATTATATTTGAGTCTGGCTATTCACTGCACAAGGTAAGACAGCAGCACACTTTAGTGCACTTTGTCTGGGTGGCTTTTCACATCTGTTGAGGCAGGTTCCTCAGAAGCAGGGGTTCTAACTTTCCTGTGTGAAGGTTATTGTTTTCCCCATAAGGTGCATCATACAAGTTGGCCTTCTAGAGACGTGAACATCAGTGACTGACAATCTTTACAGTTCTAGGCAGTGCGGGTTAATTAAGCCAGTGTTTTCCACAGGGGTGTACTTTGCCCAGGAAGATAGGCAAAGGCTATCTCCCAGTTTACCTGTATTTACTTCGAATTATATTGACATTCTTTATATATAAAGGATGACATGCCAAACAAAGGCATTATCAGATTATGGGTAGTCAAATCCAAATTGTAAAGGATAGAGCAAAGACATTTCCTGCACATTTATGTGCTATCATTATGGGACAGAATGAAAGAAAAAAACCCCTAGAACTCATGGCTGCTAAGTTGGAACCAGTGCAGCTGATCCTTCCCTGGGTTTCCACGGTGGTAAATCACGAGGAGAGAGATTGCCTGTCTTTCTCCCAAGGAGCGGCTGCTGGATTCCAGCCTCCGGAGATGCATGTCCCTTAGCTTAGGAGCGCAACAAATCTTATCACCAGAGGAGGCTGCCCACCAGTGGCTCTGTGGAAAGATGGACAGTCTCCTCCCACGTGATTTACTGCCTCTGAAAATCTGCCAGAGGGTCACCTGTGGGTTGGTGCTGCCTTGAGGGTATATGTCAACAACAGCAAGAAGAAACGCAGTCACAGTTACACTCGCCCACCACAGGATGAAATATTTAGGCATAACCTAACAAGAGACACAAAACAAGAAACAAAGACCTAACTAAATGGAAAAATAATCCTTGTCCATAAATAGGGAAACTCAACATTGTGAAAACGACTCATCCCAAAAACAATCTACAGGTTCAATGCAATCCCGATACAGATGCCAAACTCGCTATTCAACGAGCTAGAAAAGGCACTTTCCAATTGCATTTGGAAAGAGACTAGCAAAAAGGAAGAGGAAAGAGAATAAACAAAACACCTATGAAAAATAGAAATAAAATTAGGAGGCATTATACTCCGTGATTTTAAACCCTACTCAGCTGTAGTACCAAAAGAGCATGATACTGGTAGACCAGTGAAGCAGAATCGAGAACCCAGAATTAACCCATGTACCTACAGCCAGTTGATATTTGATGAAGAAGCAATACTTATTAAATGGAGAAATCACAGCCTCTTTAAGAAATTATGCCAGCAAAACTGGGCATCTACCTGCTGAAAACTGAAACAGGATCCACATCTCACCTTATACACAGAAACCAGCTTCAAAGTGGATAAGAGACTTAGGGGTAAAACCAAAACCCATAAAGATCATCAGAGAAAAAAACTGAAAACAAATTTAGAAGCTCTAGTCTACAGCATAAATAGGCTTGTAAACAGCCAAAACGTACAACCAGGAGAGGATAAAATCAACAAATGAGGTCTTCTAAAAATCAAATCACTGTGTGCATCAAAACCTTTTCCCAATAAGGTAAAAAGTTAGGCCACAGACTGGGAAAAAATATTTGGCAATGACGTTTCGGACAAGAGTCTCATAATAAAAATTTATCTGTTATCTTTAGGATCACTCTGAGGCATAGTTGACTTGATGGCACCCAACAATAACACAGGCCTATAAGAAAAAGATTGGTAATCCAGTTACAAAATGGGCAAAAAGACATGGAATGACTCTTTACCAAGAAGGCTATTCATATGGCCCACAAACACAGGAGGAAATTGTTCACAGTCACTAGCAACCCGAAAGATACAAATCAGAGCATCATTAAGATGCCATGTCATCCCAGCAGCAGTAGCAAAGTTTAACAGAACGACAAACAATAAATGTTGGTGGGGATGTGAAGAGATTGGAACGCTCATACTCTGCTGGTGGGATTGTAAAATAGTACGACGACTGTGGAAGGCAGTTTGGCAGTTTCCTCAAAATGATGATTATACCGAAGGCACTTGGTTCGAATCCACTAGATGCTCTTCTTGAGAAGGAGGGGAAATCTCCTCCTGTGCCAGTAGATCCAACTCGATGGTACACACACACACGAATATAAAAATCCCATATGACTCAGCTACTCTATTCCTGATATTCTCCAAGGAAATTAGAGCTGAGACACAGAGCTGTGCTGCAGTCCCAAAGGCACGTGGTTCAAGGCCACCACCTGCTAAGGGCGATTAATTACCTGCCTCTGAAAACTCATTAGAGGGTCAGCTTTTGGGTCGCTACCCACTCTGTGGTACCCAACAACAACAACAATATGTTCATTGAAACATTGTTCACAATAACAAGAAAAGGGAAATAGTCCAAACGCCCATCAGTGAGTAAATAGAGAAATACTGATATGTTCACACAGTGGAATACTGTGCAGCACTAAAGAAAAACAAATTATTCATAAAATAGCCCCCAACATTGAAGAGTCTGGAGGGCATCATGCTGAGAGGATAATTCAGTCACCGAAGGACAAATACGACATAAGACCACTAATGTGAAAATAGGAGGGTAATTGAGGGATGAGGCTGGGAGGGGAGAACAGAAATAGAATGTACAGACCGGGAATTCTGGAAAAGACTAGGGCAAGAGAGGATTAGCTTGGGGGAAATGAAGTTAAGGACAATACGGCTATTGCAGTTAGCAGATAGGACAAAAAGGGGGAAGGGAGAAAGGAGGCAGAAGAAGGGGGGGGGAATCATGGCACAGCAGAGATTAGTGGGTGGAGGGAGGTGGGGAGGAATGAGCAGGGTGCAGTGAGAACATGGGATGGGGTGATGAAAGCCACAGATCATTAGTAACTAAAGATGTAAAACAGTGTATGTGAATGATTGTATAAAACACAGTGTGCTTGAGTGAAACACAGTTACAAATTACAAGCATCAACTACTGAAATCCATGAAGTTCAAAGCAAAAGGTAGTCCATGGCCACACTCACCTCCATGTCCACACTCACACCCACTTCCGTGGCCACACTTACCTCCATGTTCACACCCACAACCGTCTCCACATTTAAATGCATGTACACACCAACACCCATGTCCACACTCACCTCCATGTCTATACTCACACCCATGTCCACACTCACCCATGTCCACACTCACCTCCATATTCACACCCACTTCCATGTCTGCACACTCACACCCATGTCCATACCCACAAATGAAGATCATCATGGCTCATTGTTCCTAAACAGAGTCCCCAAATTCTAATAACCAGCTTAATTGTCTGTTTTATGGGAGTTTGAGAGATGTGTCCATGCTGCTTGGACCTAATTATTTTCTCTTAAATACTGTACAGTATAATCTACTGCACTTGATGATGATACTAAAGGAGTGACATAAAATTGTCTAAAAGACCTGGAGAAGAACAATACATTCTTTTTAACGATGTATCTTCTTAATGAAATGAAACATGTAACTGCATGTGCTTTGAATGGTATTCAGGCATGAAGCAGTTAATCTGTCTAGGACATATAACTGGGCTTGGTCTGCCTGTCAGGCATTCTGTCCTTGACTCTGCCATGCAAAGGCAGGTGTGGCCCTTGCCCCCAGTGAGCCTGCAGCCTGGTGGGAAAGACAAGTGTTGACTAACTAGTCATGTGAAAATAGCCAGCACTACCGCGAGAGGCACATTGTAGAGCACATCTTGGAGCATAGAGTAGGATCTAACCTGGCAAAGGAACCAGAGAGGAAGGGTGGGCATGGTCAAGGAAACAGCACACACAAAGACCTTGTGCCTGCAGGGAGCACGTGCTGCTTGAGGAACAGCAAGCCTCTAGTATGAGCAGGACCCAGGAGACAGTGGGTGTTAGCGTGGTCCCAAATGAGGTAGAGACCTTCCAGGGTCCAGCCACCCAGGCTCTGGGTAGGGTTGGTTTAGCCTCAGTGCAGTCCCAATGCGTGTAGGGGTCAGGATCTTGTGCAAAGATTATTCCGGAATTGGAAAGAGGAGTGAAGGGGTTCAGGCATAAGCAAACAGAGAAAACTACTGCTGTGGACTAGTGAGAGGTGGCAGTGGCTTGGGCTTGGACTCAGGTTCAGGTTGTGGAGGTAACTGGTGAGAAGTAGGGAGACGAGAGAGTGGTGTGGAGATAGTAGAGCTATGGGACTTGGCTCTGCATGTGGGGATGAGGGCAGACCCCCAGGCCTCCAGCTGGCCTGGTGCCCCTCCCTGAAAATCACAGTGCAGGAGGCCAGGTGGGGCTGTGCCTGTGCTGACACTCAGGGCTTTTCTGATGATTCCTGTCATTTCCTCTCCTTCTAACAGGGTAACTTCTTTCAGAACATTGGTTCTATCACCTTGTTTGCTGTTTTTGGTACAGCCATTTCTGCTTTTGTAGTAGGCGGAGGAATTTATTTTTTGGGACAGGTAAGAACATTTTAAAAACTACTAAAATATTTCTGATATTGTTGGAAGTAATGCAGGAAGCCTGGAACTGAGATGCACCCCCCACCCCCATGGGGCCTGAATTTCCTTTTCTGGGTAAAAGGCCCTCTTAGAAGGAAGTCCAGACCCCATGAGGCAGAGTAAAGGCATGTTAAAGTTGGTGTTAAGGGTTCTGGAAGAGCTCTGGCATCTGGAATTGAGTGAGTCTTTGCCATCATCCAAAAACATTTTATCTTAATTGCAAATTAGTACTATATTAAGTATTGAAAAACCTAAGGATAGAAACTTTAAGATCTTAAACATCAATCATGGTGTCAGGTAGACCAAATCAGGGTTGAACAGTTCCTTTATCAAAATTTACATTTTTTAAAGCAAAGATAATTCTAAGTCCACTCACTCAATTCGAGGCCCTTGACATATAAGATTATATACTTGGCATTTCACCATCGCCAAGCTACTTCCCAGGGCCATCAGTTGGGTCTTTGGTATGTTGAGATCCAAACAAATTTGCACTAATGTCAACCAAACACCCCTGGGAAGGTACTAGCTCTGGTTTTGCATTCTGCTGGCATTGTCGGTTACAGAACGTTTACTTGTCCCAATTCTGTACACGGACTTTGAGGTTCAGGCATCTGGGTCACTGGCAGGTTTCTGTCCGTGTGCCAGGCCTGTCATTCTCCTTCCATGGCTGTAATAAGGCGGCCATTCTGTCTGAGGGACACTCTTATTGCTGCTTCAGTGCTCTGAAAGAAAGCTGTTACACTGCCTCCCTCATTGCTCAACTCCTAAGATCAAATAGGAGTAAACTTGAGGGAAGAAAACTGTGGTTAATTGAGCTTAAATGACACGTAGCATTCTTTCCCCCACCTTTGTCAGAAGGTGATGGAATGCACGCTAAACTAAGCCTTGGGAGTTTTCTTTTATTTTTCAAATGATTTGGGGATTGAAGATTAATGTCCTGATTAGTTTGTAATAAAGCACTAATGGGCATCTTAATCTTCTTGGCTGTTCTCCAGGGGTATCTTTGTGTGTCTGTATGTTTTTGTGTGTTTTATTTTGCAGGCTGATGTAATCTCTAAACTCAACATGACAGACAGGTAAAGGCTTCACACTGTAGCACCCATGTGCTTACTTCTTAGACGGGGTTGGGGGCGTTTTCTCCACATTGTCTCCTGGGTGTAGTACTCTATTGTCTTTCCCTTTTTCTGGTAATTTCTACTGTCGAATGTATTCCTAATTAATGTGTGTCTTTGAATTGAATCAAGCTTCTAGTATGGAATTTTGACAATTCCTAGTGAAGGCACTTGAGATTGTAATGTTTCGTTTTGTTTAAACTTTGGGGGGATAACTCTGGCCTGTCAGCTTATCTCCCCATACACACACAAGCACTGCATTATTGCCTTTTTTTATTATTAAGAATCATCTGTTCGAATCCACCAGATGCTCTGCCGGAGAAGGAGGGGCAGTCTCCTCCTGTACCAGTCAAATCTGATTTGACAGTACACACACAAAAAATAATAAAATTAAAAAAAAATTTTTTAAAAAAGAATCATCTTTAGGGGGAGCTCTGGTGGCCTAGTGACAAGAAGATGTGCTGCAATCCCAAAGGTGCACGGTTCAAATCCACCAGATGCTCTGCTGGAGAAGGAGGGGCAATCTCCTCCTGTGCCAGTCAGATCCGATTCGATGGTACACAAAGGGGGGGCGGAGCGGAGAATAATCTTTAGCTAATTTATGGATCTTTTCACAAGCCCTATGTAGCTAGGCAAGGCTGTTCCTTGCAAAGGGACACAATGCTTGTAAATGAAGGGTCAGCAAAGGAGAAGATCCTTCATGAGATGGATAGACATGGTGACTTTAGCAGTGGGCTCTAGTGTGTGAGGGGTGACGACGATGGCACAGGATAGGGCAGGGTCCAGGTCGCCCGTTCATAGGGTCCCTATGCGTTGTACTCTAGTCAGTGGCTCCTGACAACAAGAAGGAAAAGTTGTCTTCCTGATGGATTGGGGAGGAAGGCTTGAGGTGGAAATCATCCCTCTGGGAGTTCCCCCAAGGGGCAGAAAGGAGGGAGGGGCAGGCAAGACCGGGAGCTCCGTGGTGGATGCCCTCTCAGGCCTCTCCTGAGTGAGAAGTGAGGCTGCTGTCCAGGAACCCAGTCCCGGAGTTTCCGTGATGGCTTAACGAGAAGCCTTGTTGGCAGCTCTCTTAGAAGGTGGCAGCCGAGAAAGTGTGAGAATTGCAGCGTGCGTGCAGAACCGCTGTGTTCTCTGCGTCACCGTCGGCACGTGGGTCTGTCTGGGTCCTGTGACTGTGGGTTAAATGGGGAGACTTTCCAGGGCGAGGGCCAGAGTTTTCCCTCTATAGCAGCAACCGGGGAACTGGCCACTAGAAGCCCTTGTCATAGGAATTGGGCCACAGGTAACATCAGGCCCAAGCCCATTTCCGTTTTCCCAGGGATGTAAATTTTGGAGCCTTTGTTGTGAAATAGTTCTGATATATGTTCTAGAGTGAAAGTAGGTGTATGAACTAACATGGTCCTCCTGCATGGGAGCTGGAGGTCAAGCAGGAGGCCCTGTACTTTTATAGACAATGCAAAGAAAGGCATTCAGCCTCTGGTAGGAAGACGCCCCAGTGGCCAGGCTGTGGCACAACTGCTCTGAGACCAGAAGGTGCTTGATGGGTTCCTGAGAAGCTGAACAGAATGGATTTCTGGGATGTCCAGGGCCAGAGGAGTCCAAGACTTGCCTCAGGCAAACAGAGCCGAGTGGTGCTTCTCTCTCCATGTGGGGCATGTCCTTCCCTGGTCGAAAGTGACTGTTCCATGGATGGGTCAGGACTGCACTGGGGAAGATCCACCAGGGCTTTCAAACCCACGCAGCTGTGGGCCCTGTGGGACCTTCAGCAGTGGGAAGCTGGACAGGTGTGAGATGGGGACAGTGGTGACAGCAGGGCACACTTTGTCTCAGAGGAAACCCCTCTCCCAGCTTCACTTAAGAATTACCCTGTGGGAAAGGGGGTCCAAGATTTTACTGCAGAGTTGGTTGGGGTTTTTTAGGAGAAGTCAGGTTTATAGATTTTTCATAGGGAATTTTCCAGTTTGTCGTCGTTGTTGTTGTTGTTGTTAAGTGCCGTCAAGCCTCAGGTGACCCTATGAAGGAGAGTCCTCGACGCTTGGGTGCCTTTCATCCTCTCTCCAGGTTCATAGGGTTTCCGGAGGCAAGCTGTTACGGAAGTGGATGCCACTCCTCCTTCCAAACTTGTTTTAATCTGGGAGCTCCACCCCACTCTCTGAGTTTGCCATTAGCAACAATTTATTTGCTTTTTGAAAGACACTATGCAGAGTGAATATGGGAGCAACCCACCCATTAAATTCTTGCTGTCAACTCACTTGGAACCCATAGCAACCCTCAAGGACAGAGTAAACCACCTCACAGGTTTTCCAAGGCTGTGAACCTTTACAGATGGCCCCATCGTTCCTCTTCAGAGTGTTGGTGGGTTCAAACCACTGATCTTTTGGTTAACAATGGAGCTCTTTAACCACTAAGCCACCAGGGAACTTTATAAGTCCCACAGACACCCAGTTACAGCTTCTTCAGAATAGAAAACATAAAAAATCACTTTATCACACAGAGGGTTTTGGGTGGCCTTTTTGTTGGAGGGGTATTTCCCTCAGTGCTCAAGTGCCTCAATCACTTCACCACCCTCATGCTGCTTCCTTTTCATTTTGTCAGCATTGTTACCTTTTGAGCAACGAACGCACATTTTAAACTTGAGCTTGTGGTACCTGCCCTCTTTAAGGCCAGGCCAGGAAGGTGTGTAGTGTAGCAAGTGACAACAGGTGACCCCTCAGCTTGGGCTTCTTCACGATTCAGGCAGTTCACACCTCACACCTTAATGTGTGTACCTTCCGGGTCCCTATTTAGATTTCCAGCCAAAGCTAAATGTGTGATTTGTACAAAGCATTTTCTCCACTTAAAAACAATATTGTGTATGTATATATGTTGTTGTGCCATCAAGTCAGAGCTGGCGTATAGAAGACCCTCCAGTGGGTTTTTAGAGGCTGTAGGTCACATGCAAGAAGGCTGTGCCTGTCTTTCTCCCTTGGAGTATCTGGTGGATTCACTGTGTGCCATTGGTTGGCAGTGCAACTCCTTAACACTAAGCCACCAGAGCTCCGTGTGAGTGAGTGAGTGAGTGAGTGAGAGTGTGTGTGTGTGTGTGTGTGTGTGTGTCTGTGTGTGTGTACAGAGAGAATAAAGTATTAGTCCTTTCAGCATTTCTTCAACTTCTTATTTCTTATTGTGGTCATTTTAAACATGCAGAAAAGGCAGAGGAGTGCATACATCTAACCCACCATGTAGATGGTACAATTGCCGTTTTACTATGTTTGCTTCAACGTGTTTGTCTGTCCATCCTCTTGTCTACTCATCTTGGCATTTCCTGCTCTCTGATTTCCTGTCCAGGACACCACAGTCAGGCACCTCTCACGGTCACTAAAACGCAGCACAGACTAAACCAAAGGAGGTGTTGATTACCTCACAGAGCTGACAGGTCCCCAGGCTGACAAGTCCCCAGGCTGACGGCTCCGGTGTGGCTGCCTCCAGGAACCCATGATGATGGCATCTCCCCTCTCACCGGGCTCTAGTCAAGCCCTCTGATGAGCTCCATCCTGAGGCACCCTCGTCCCATGTCGCACTCAAGGTTCCAGGCTCCTCCATTAGCCATCCTGCCCAGAGAGCAAACCTGATTCCTGATGATGCAGTTGGACAGCAGGCATGGTCTACACTGACTGAGCATGGGTTTCCAGGCTCGCTCCCTGAGCCATGCGTGACTGCATGGACAGAGCGGACAGCTGTGGTTTCTCAAGAGGAAAAGGGAGGGTCCATTAGCACTAGGGAATGGGTCGCACATGCAGCACACACCCAGCACACCACACCCAGCACACACCCCAGCACACACCCCAGCACTGCACACCCAGCACCCGAGCATGCCCTTCAGTGGCTCTCAGAGCGCCCCTCCCTGTCCTGGTCCTTGAGGTTATACTGTGTACGGGCCTTTCCCTCCTCACACCCACCAGGGCTCCACTTAAGGTCGCTTGGATGATGAGAGGGACATGAAAAAGGGGTGACGAGCTCTCTGTCCAGGGTGTATTGGGAGCCATAGCATCACTGGGGGAGCAAGTGTGCGCATACCCCTGACGCTACCCATCACCTGGTGCGGTAACTTGTCACCCTCCACGTCATTCTTCTTGCTCCGAGTAGTCAACTTGCAGGCAGGGTATAGCACCTGCCACTGGAGAGTAAGCTGCATCTCACCCTTGACCAGTGGTAGAAGTGAGGGGACAGTGGAGGCCACAGAGCCACCCTAGCTCCCACAGAGGTCAGGTAAGGCCAAGCTACTCTGTGCACAGGAGTATTTGTGCCACAAGCTGCCCTCTCCCATCCGTGGGATGACACCCTGAGTTACCACACTGGATGACATCACTGGTATGAGGACATCAAGGTCCAATGCCCAGGAAGGGGCCCCCTGGCTGGCAGCCCTTTAGAGGTGTTACCTCTCCTTCCCTCCCACCCTCCCCTCTCCTTCCCTTTTCCTTCGTCTCTCTTCCTTCCGCCCACCAACGTCTCTGGGCCGTGCCCAGTACAGATCCCAGAAAGACAGCCACGGCTGAAGTACAGCCTCTACCCACTGGGAGCTTGCTAGGAGGGAGAAGGGCTGCGGGCACAGCTCCCCATGCATGTGGGCGGCCTCTGTGAGGACAGGGAGGGCTGGAGTTCAGGGCAGGCCTGACCTCCACTTCAGACTCAGGAGCCCCTCGTGAAGTGATGAGGTTCCTGGATGAATTAGCATAGCTTTGACTCACTGGTTCTAACTTGGGACAAGAATGGCAGGTCACTGACTGACACAGTGAACTGAACAGGTGCCGCCACTGAGCGCTGCCTGCCATCACTCCTCTCGCTGAGCCCGGGCCAGTTCGTGAGGCTGCATGATGTCACCCCAGGCCTGCATCTCCCTCCCTCAGATGGCCCCAGGCAGCACGTTTGGTGTAGGAACCAGACCAGGAGTGGTCTCCACAGAACTGTCGACTCAGGCCTCCAGGTTTTATATTATTGCTGAAGGGCCCAGGCAAAAGTCCTGCACAGCTAGAAAGAACCAGAATTAGCAGTTTAATGAGATCAAATGATTATAAAACACTGAGGAAAAAAGGCCAGTCTCAGACAGTGTACATCGCAGGCTCCTCACAGCCCACAAGGCCCACGCTGTGACCTGGCCTGCCCTCCCCACCAGCCTCCCACGTCATCACACACCGGCCAGCACCCGCCAGCACCCGCCAGCACCCTTCCTGCACCCTTCCTGCACCC